CCAAGGCACCTAGGTTGCAAACTGACTCATTCAATCAAGAATGTGGAGTGTCAGCCATTGATGCATGTCTTTGTGTCTTAAAATGAAAGGCACAGGCTTCAAAGACATGCTTATTAAGAGGGCCTTAGAACAAAATCAATGCCAGATGTGACCAGAGTGAGTAGCTAGTCCTTCCCTAAGCAATCACTGCTATTCCGGGCAGCGTGGCCCTCTTCCCTGAAGGTCACCTGCAGTTTCACTCAAAGTCCAGCCAAAAGGAGGAGGGGTGGTGGGGGGGAAATCAAAGCTCAGATCAAAATGATTCCCTGGGGGTACAACACATTTAGATAATTAGTTTCACCTTGTGTCTGTGCAAGATAAAAACACATACACATACACACCAGATTTGGGCCTATGTTTCTTTTGTACACAGATGTAACAAAAATAAAATAAAGAAAAAAACAACTTCATCACGGTCCTGTTAATGTATAGGGGTAGTCCTCGACATAGGACCATAATTAAGCACAAAATTTCCATTATTGAGCAAGACAAGTGAGTTTTGCCCCATGTTATGACTTTTCTTGCCACAATTCGTAAGTGAATCACTGCAGTTGTTCAGTTAGCACCACAGTTGTTAAGTGAATCTGGCATCCCCCATTGACTTTGCTTGTCAGAAGGTTGCAAAAGGCGATCGATCACATGACCCCAGGACACTGCAACCGTCATAAATACATGCCGGTTGCCAAGTGCCCAAATTCTAATCACGTGACTATGGGGATGCTGCAACAGTTGTAGGTGTGAAAAACGGTCATAAGTCGCTTTGTTCAGTGCCGTTGTAACTCTGGTCACTAAACAAATGATTGAAAGTTGAGCCAATAATTACATCTTGCCAAGGTTCAAGTTGCAATGCTCAGAGAGTTTTTGAGTTTAGGTGGAACACTTTTTGTGACATCCTATTTTTTCCCCCCCTGGTGTTGTCTAAAAACAAGGACTGCCACTACACAGCACCATGGTTAGGACTGTTAACTTCAGAGCCTGCTGAGAACAAATCAGGGCCTGTTTCTGTAGGGAAAAGATGTTTTTAAAAAAAAAAAAAAAACCCATCCAGTGGGCCAAGATTTTTGGGCCTGTGGCTACTGAACATTTATAAGGCCCAAAAATTTTGGCCCACACAGACATAATTAACATACGGGAATTTCATTACTCGCAGTGTGCCAACTGGGATTTTTTAAAAAACTGTCCTTACAGATGAGCTTCTGTAAAGCTGTAATGGTGGTGTTTCCTAGTGAAAGCTAGGCTACAAGTTGAGGGCTGCCAAATAAACATTATCCACAGGTAATTGTATGAAAGTGGTTACCTCTGAGCTTTTATCTTACGCTATACTGAACATAAATCACGTGTACAGGGGTCAGCAATCCACAGCTCTGGAGCCGCATGTGGTTCTTTCATCCCTCTGCTGTGGCTCCCTGTTGCTGGTCAGCTCCATAATTGATAGGGGTTTCGGTTAGGACAGGTAGAGGAAAAAGGATGCCACGCTAGGAGGAGACTCTATGGTAGGGGAACTGACTTCCAATCAGCAGAGGAAAAAGGATGCTGTGCTAGGAGGAGACTATGGTGGGGGAACCGAACTTCTGGCCAGCAGAGGAAAAAGGACGGCGCACTAGGAGGAGACTATGATGGGGGAACTGGACTTCCGGTCAGCTCCAGAATTGAACAGGGGCTTCCGGTTAGGACCTTTGTGGCCCTGTGAGTGTTTAAGGTTGCCGACCCCTGAGCTAGTACAATAGGTATGCAGTAGGGTTTGGAACCGTGGCCTTCCATGTGGGGTTTGAATGGGACTCACCCCAGATTCAGCCAAAATGGCTAATTTTAAGGAAAATGGGAGATGGTCTAATTATAGCTAGAAGGCCCCAGATTCCCATCGTGAGAAGATATTCAATCTTCATATCTACACTAACAGGGTGGTTATCACAAGGGTAAGCAAATCTCTCTCCATCAGACTAGCCCATCCCCCTCTTATTACAGATAATCCTCAATTTATAACCTTTCATTTAGTGACTGAAGTTAACAACAGGACTGAAAAAGGTGACTGATGACCTTTATTCACACTTAAGACTGTTGCAACATCCCCATTGTCATGCAATCAAAATTCAGATGCTTGGCATTTGGCTTATATTTATGATGGTTACAGTGTTCAAGGGTCATGTGATCCCCCATTTTTGCGGCCTTCTGGCAAGCAAAATCAAAGGGGAAACCAGATTCACATAACAACCGTGTTACTAACTTAACAATTGCAGTGGTTCGCTTAACAATTGTGGCAAGAAAGGTTGTAAAATGGAGCAAAACTCACTTAACAGCTGTCTTGCTTAGCAATGGAAATTTTGGATTCAATTGTGGTCATAAGTCGAGGCCTATCTGTACTGCCAACCAGCTCAAGATGGATTAAACTACATCTTTAGCTTAAGAGGCAGGGCTTCAGTGTGAATACAAAATTCAGAAATATATATACATACATATATATATATATACATACATATATACATACATATACACACACACACACACACACACACATATATATAAAATCTATATATCCAGTTTTAGTCTCAAGAAAGATTACAGAGATCATAGATTATAGAGATACATTATATCTCTCGAAATTCCATCTAAGGCTCTGGAGTAAGCTGTCATCACCGATCTAAAATAAGATTCTGAGACTCCATATTATTCCTGTGGGAGGTTAGACAATAAAGAGTTTTCACCACGCAAGTCCTTCTCAATGCCTTTAACCTCCATTCGCTCAATACCATCCACATAGTTTGGTTCTAGTTAATTAAATCAGGGAACCCTTCATTTGAGGCTAGGATCAGGAAAGGAAGGGGAAACTCCCTGGCAGAGTTTCCATATTGGTGTTGCTTCCTACAAAGTACAAACCATAAGGAGCTCCTATCAGCCAACATACAATTCTGGTAGCAAATGAAGATACCCTTTGATCTGTAAAGATGGGCTTTAGGTATTTCAAGCATTTATATTCTAGTTTTGGTCAGGGCTAGGCAGCTAGTCAAAAGTACCTTAAGGTGCATCCTTTAAAAAGGCAGGTAGTCATAAAATAATAACCAAGCAACAGAGGAAATCTCTGTAAATGTCAGCTAACCCATCACAGAAAAGCTGTCCAAAAATGCAGGCAGATGAAAAGCTGGTGCCAAAACCAGTCAGGGACAAGCAAGTCTCTTTGGAGAGCAAGTTCCAAAAATACAGAGGTTCTTTCTCAAATCCCCCTCATCTCTCCTACAAGGACAGAGAGACTAAAGTCTCCCCCAGTAGAGGACTTTGATGCCTATCCAGGCCCTGCCTTTAGAAAATAAATAAATTTTCTTATTTAGAAAAAAAAACAAACCCCTTTTAAGGTGTAGATCTTCCAAAAAGACCTGTAACTATTTGGAAGTTTTGTTTCCAATGTCAGCATGAGTTTTGCAGTAATCTCAGGGTAGTTTATGAGCAATTAATAGACTAAATAAGTTCAAACTTTTATTCCAATGCTTCCTAATGGGTTCTTTTTCACAAAACTTAGAAGCTTTGACTGGAATGATGTAAAAAAATGGGAAGATTGCAGATTGTTCTTTCAGGGCGATAATGGAAGATAGTAGCTGCAGCCCCCGTGTTGTTAACTTTTGGGTTAGTTAGATGGTCATATTGTGAAATGAAGCCCCACCTCTTCCAATGGAGCAATAAAGCATTCCTCAAGATGTTCTCTACCATCATCAGAGATAATAACTCCTGCTTAATATGTATGCCTCAGTAACAGGGAGATGGGACAAGCTGATTCTCTGAATAATTACATAGGAAGTCCTAAGATAAGTCATAAGCCTTATTAGGACTTTAAAAGTCAATCTAAAATAAGGAAGTAGACTGATAGATGGGTAAGAAAGTAGACAGGTCTGGAGATCAAAAGGTCCTGCTGATGTTATCTGCTGGGTAAATCTGCCCTCAGGACTTCACTAGATAATACACTCTAATTTTGCAGAACGTATTGGAATATCTACCCTCAAAAGAAGCCCCAACTCTTTCCTAACAGAAGGCATTTGAGCAAATACCACTAAGTACAATAGTCAAAGTCAATTAGCCATTGACATTCACAGATTAGGTTTACAATATTTTGCATGACCAATTGGGACTTTGGTAACACTTGTTTTGTGCAAAGCTAAATCAACCAATACCAAAGGGGGAAAAACACTTTTAGAGACCCTTCCCCTTATAAACAAGATGCAGGAATATATGTACTCATTTATAGCTATCAGATGCAGGTCCCAACAATTTTACTTCCATTAGTAAATTATTTTCCATTAGTAAATTATAATTAAATTATTTTGCACGACCAATTGGGACTTTGGTAACACTTGACTGTTTTGTGCAAAGCTAAATCAACCAATACCAAAGGGGGAAAAACACATTTTAGAGACCCTTCCCCTTATAAACAAGATGCAGGAATATATGTACTCAATTTATAGCTATCAGATGCAGGTCCCAACAATTTTACTTCCATTAGTGTCTCCGTAGTTGATGACTGTCCTGTTCCTTTTATTTTTTTTTAGGGCCCAAATGGCGAAATCAGAATAATCGGGTAAAGTGTAACCAAACTGATGAAAGAAAAGAAACTTCTAAAGCAGCAGTGTATCATCGCAGAAAGGAAATAAGAACTTTGAAGAGATACCTATTATACAAGTCTGTGGCCTCGTCGACTTGCAAAAGGCAAGACAGCCGACAATCTCACATCTACTCACCAGATGAGATCTCAGTTCGGTTGCTGGAGCAACCGACCCACCTGCTGAGTACTATTGCTGGGTGGGTAAACATAAAGAAGTCAGAAAAACTTCATCTAGTGAACGAGTTGCAGCCAACCTTCAAAAGAGAACAATAAACCTTTCCTTGTGGGAGGCTGCTTACAAATACATCGTGGTTATTTTGGCAGTCAGTCTGTGCAAACACAAGAAAAAGAAGAAAGAAACCACAAAGATGCTTACCTATAATTTCCCTTTTTGCTCAGCTGCTCTTTAAAATGCCCAAGTGTCAGGCTCGGGGCCTTTAACAGCCTCCTGTAGGGAATTTCTTCTCCACAGAAAAAATAAGTGACAACCAACTCACTAGGCTGGGAGGAGTGAACAACAGGGAGTTTCTTTGGTTCTTTGTGACTGAAACATAAAGGAGGGAGGAGAGAAAATAAGTATGGCTTCACAACATTTACAAAACATTTATGTCACACTCAGAGGCACAATTACACAAAGGCGTAGAGAGTCAACTAACCACATCAAGTAATTGAAAAATTGAGGAAAGCAAAGCTGGAGACTTATCTGTGTATTAAATACTGAAGAATTTGTGGTAGCCTTCCCCATACCTGCTGTCTGACTTGTGGACTTCAACCACCCTTGTTGTTATTAACTAGCCCCTCAATTTGGAAGGCGATTCCAACTCATGGCCCACTAAGCATTGCTGCTGGATCATTTTTTTAAAAATGGGAATTTTGACTGTGGAAAAAGGGTTAAAAACAAAGACCAAGGCATGTATTGTGCAAAGTTTCCAATGGAGATATACAGTCTTTAATTATCAGCTTACTAAGACTGGCCAACTAGTTATTGTACATATTTGAAGTATAAATATTTTGAAAAGGGATTTGCTTAACAGGGCAATGATGTCTGCAACCCTTGAAGATTCAACAAAGCAATCCTACATTGTTTTCATGTCCAGATGAAGGGGACATGAGTCTGCAGCTGTAGGATTATCCCAACCCTCAATTATTGGATGAATTTGGGCAGATTGCTCAGACCCTCTGGCAACTTTTCTGAGAAAGAACTTTCAGCTACATCAGGAGACATATGAGGTGAATCCCATGTGGACTGATCACTGGAGCAGATCATGTGATGTACAATAATACAATGATACCAGCATTGCTTCAGCCATGGCCCCGTTTTACAAATGGATTTGTTCAGTTCAACTTCAACTTGATACTCCAGTTGGTTTCCCCATTCTTGGATCACCAATTTCATGTTGCTATAATTAATTAGAGTAATGAGGGACAAATTGCACTCCTGAGTCTGCAAACAATCCTTAGACTAAAAATCCTTTTCAAGTGACAATTTGGTCCTTGGCACTGAGGGTGCCAGGATGATGGGGATGTTAAATAAGAGATGTCAAAAACAGAAAGGAACAAGGGTTCTGAAGAAAGAGCCAATAAACATTCAATAAAAAAATTCTGAAACATGATAGAATTGGTAGGACCATTCACTGTTTGTTTAAGATCTACCTCAAGACCAAGTGGTCCTTGATGCAAAAAAGGTTGTGCTTAGTTCTTTAAAAGAGCAATGACAAATCCCGAGGCTGAATGAATTCATACATCGCACTAAGCCATGGCTTGTTTTCTGTGGTTTTGGGATTAATTTATAATATCTGGGTTCCCACTCCAAGCTAGGCTATGAAATAGAGGTTTATAAATCACAATGACTGGAGTTGAACTAACTAAATACCAAGCAAATAACTTTGTACAATATCTGAAACCAACTGGCACAACACTTCTCAGTCACTGTTGAGATGTGGATTCAGAGAATAAATATTGCTAAAGGAAGTGTTCCACTGAGAAACACCCCCCCCCCATCATATTACATATAAATGTCTTGGCTAAGTACTGTCTAGAAAGCTTCAGAAAATTTATTTATTTTCTTGTGTTAATTTGTTATTAAAAATCCTCAATAGATATTCATGAAGATTTTCTGGGACTTTATGGGGAAACCCATTAACTACTGGGTTTTACGTGATTTCTAACTGTCTTTATATATTAAGTTACTGACTATAGGTTTCAAATTCTACTTTATCAATGCCTCTGTTGTCATGTACAACTTTTGCATTCCATATTAATTTTATGAAAATATTGGGTGAATTGTTACATGATCCTACACCCAAGATTTCCTTATGGCTTGAATAAGCTCAAACAAACAAGAATAAGTCTTGCAGAGATACAAAATATTCATGGCTTATTCGACCATGACCAATCTCTGATTTATCTTCTTTTTTTTTAAAGTTGGTTTTGTTTTACAATTCTGCGAGCTGACTAGGTAAATGGATGAAGCCCCCAAACAATCCAATAATAAGCAAGGAATCTATAAACAAACCAAGTTTTTTTCTGCACATATTTAGTCACAGCCACAATCTTACAACAACAAACCATGATTTCAAACTATAGACTACAAATAAATCATGACTCTTTTGCAAAAGTGAGTTATCCTTTTGAAGACCAAGATGAAAAGGCTTAATCTCTCCTAGACCTATTATACCTCTCATTGCGTTTCAATATGATAGCCCATTATATACTTTTGGACTCTATGCAAGAGTCTGGAATTAGAAACATACTTTTGCAGTGCTTCTTCTTCCTTTACCACAGTGGCCAAATTATTCAGTATCTACGTGAAACCATTAGTGAGATCATATGTCACCTGGAGTGAAATATCGCCATTATATACAGCATATCCATCCCAGGCTGAGCCAGAAATCCTGCAGAAGTCCTGTCCCAGGGCTTAGAGGTTGTGAGAGCCTGGGTGGGTCAAAACAAGCTTAAATTAAATCCCTGCAAGTCAGTATTGCTCTATGTCTGTGATAGGTCTGGCCTTATCCAAGTTCTGAGTTTGGCTCCAGAGGGAGTTATATTCCCCTAATAGAGGATATCTACAATTAGGGGGACCTACAGGAAAGTGGCAGGTGCAAGGTAGGGCTAAGAAAGCTTTTGCCTACCTCTTGTTAGTGTGTGAAGTACAGGCCCATTTGAATTGGGAAACTCTGACTAAGAATATTTAGTGTGGGTCTGCCTCTGAAGATATCTCAGGCTTAGATACTACAGTTGTCCCAAAGTCCAGCAGCTAACCAGCAATATGGTCAATGCTGCAGGTGCCACATTGGTTGCTGATTTGCTTTTGATTCCAAGGGACCTACGGGGATATCCCTTCTGCGCATTCCTGTAGCAAGGACTTGACTTGCCGATGGTCTGTATCCCACATGAAGCGTGGGATACAGATATGTGCTTTCTCGGTGGCAATTCCCATTGCATAAAACCCCTCACTTCCCTGTATATAGAACATACCCCAACCTTATACCCTTTGGAAAACTTCATATAGTTCAGCTGTTCTCCAGAGCTTTTGGGTGCTTATGGTGCGCAGGCTGCCTAATTAAAAATGTGGTTGATTCATCTTCAGATTGTTTAAAGTAGTTCATTTTCATCATCTCTGACCATTCGCCAAAGTGCCTGGAACTAAGCAGAGATTCCCGCAGATTCCCCCGATTTACCCCATTGATTTGCCTATCTTCTGTTCTCCACAGGTTGTATGTATGTATGTGTGTGTGATTTTGTGTGTGGACAAAGACAGCAGTAAAGGGAAGAAATGAAAGGACCAACATTGTCTAAAGTTCCAGGATGGAACAGAAAAATATTTGTTTAATGGATGGCCCATATGGACATTTCACAGCTATTTAATTTTTTTGATAACACTGTAGGATCTCTATCTGAGTCTCCACAATAATTTACAATGTCTATTTCATAGGTTAGGGAAGCCTAAGGTCCATAACCCAAACTTTGAAAGTACTCTAACTTTCACATATGTATGTGCCATCAAACCATTCTCAACTCCTAGTGGCAGCATAGATAGATTCTCTCCATAACGTTCCATCCCTAACCTGGCCTTTCAAATCTTCCAATTCACCTACAATGCCAAGGAATTGGCATGTATATTCTATATATGCATTCCTTTACACCAAACTAAATTTAGAAAGCCCTAACTTGTGTGGAACAGCACATCAAAAGCTGCCACTGTTTTTGTATCTTGGACCTGGGGGGGGGGGGGGGGGAGAAACAGAGACATGCCACATCTGTTTTGATACTTTGACACCACTGTCAAAGGGAAGAGAAAGCCAAGTTCTGGTTCCACCTTGGGAACCTCAAGAAGACAGAACCTGTTGCAGAAATAAGAGTCTTCAGTGGCATGAAGACAAGGCCGTCTCTGAGACAAGCCAGACTTGGCACGTCTAAAGGTCACCAAAGGCTACTCTGCCATAATTTTCTCTTCCTAATTTGTTCCAAGTCTTTGTAGAGTGGTTTCAGGAAGCAAAAAAAAAAAAAAAGCACTAGCACAGACAGCTGGCTTAAGGTCAGCCAATTAAAAATGAAAAGGGATAGTCATGTGGCTAAGCTTGGACTTCAAACATTACTCATTGCTTAAGATGCAGCATCTAAGAAAAAAAAACTTTAATTATTTAGACTCTAGCAGATTCCTTGTCAAAGAAGTACTATCCTGTAATTAGACTAATCCACCAATCTTTGTCCATTTAACTGGAATGCAAACAAAAAGAAGGGGAGAATTAGAGAACCAAGGTTTGAAAATGTTTGGTGTTCGCTATAGGCCTTTTTAAAAAAAAAAGAATCCAAACTCCCTTGTAAATGCTCCACTTCCAAAGCAATAAAATTGGGTTTGAAAAAAAAGGAATCAGCAGCTTTCTACTGTTTATATTGCACTTACTCTTCTGATGCCGTGTTTGTCGTGCAGAAAGGGCCGTTCCCTCCCGGTACTGAAGCCAAGTGGTTTCGATCTCTAAGCTGATTTGAAGTTGAACATCTGAAGGATTGGGAAATGGGAGAGGAAGGGGAAGAGATACAGGAAAACCATTAATACCTTCTCCAAATCCCATTTATGCGCTCAAGACCGATGTGCTGAAACGAGCAAGGAAATATTACACATACTAAAGCCTAAAGTATCTCCACATCATCCAAAGACAGGCTAAAGCTTTAATCCCACCACTTAACTGGTTTCTGTTTCAGAAGCATTCATTAAGGAAACCAAACAAACCAGGTTAAATTGGAAGATTCGAATTGCTTTGACTAGAGAAATTACAATTTGTAGGGTGCATCCTGAATGGTAAGACTGAGACACTGATTGTTCCAAAACCTAAGAATCGCTTGATAGCGACATGGGCAAAAAATACAATTTCATAAATAAATAAGCCCATGCACCAGCTTGAGCAAGCCAAAAACTAACTCATAAAATGAAGCCAGTTTCAGCTCTTTTGTTTCATCTTTCAAAAATATCTCAAAAGTAAAGTTGAAAAAGCTTTAGGTTGGTGGGGCCAAATATGGATCCTTATCTTTCAATCCAAGTTTTATAAGCCTACCTCTCTATTTTAACCAAGTTACAAATTTGGGGAATTGTATGTTACTCAGTTTGAATGGAGTGGCTTAAAAGCCCAGTAACCAATACACAAACAACCATAAACAAATTTAAATCTCTCCTGAGGAGAAAGGGGCTTTATGAATCTGACCTCCTATTTGCCATTGTTCTAGCTGATCACCATTACACGTTTAATCTGACTCTACATTTTGCAACACAATAGAGAATTTGAAAATATTCTGTTTGCAGATGCTTTTGTTAGGCAATCTATGGTTTTTACAGGCCTGTTCCAGAATATTCAGCCTAGCCTAGCTTCAACAGGGACTGGATTGCTTTTAGCAGACATCAACCCTGCAGCCCCCCGTGGGGGGGGGGGCTTCTGCTTTGACACCCCAATCTGTGGGAAGTTACCGTTGTTTCTGGGGCTTGGACACCTCGGCTAGCCTGCGGCAAGCTTCCTCCAGCTGGGCCAGTGTGTTGGGTGGAGTCAGTGGAGGCATGGCGGGATCCTGGACAAAGGGGTGGGCAGGTTGCACAGCCCGTGGGTGGCTGCTGTTGCCCCACTGGTGGTGACGAGCTGGACGCTCCCCAGATGCACCTCTGGTGGAGTCAGCATTGTAGGCCTTCTTCGTGCTTTGCGTGCTGGAAAAAGACAAGGGACCAAAAGGGCAAGGTTATAAAAGCTGAAATACAGGCCTTTCATAGCAGCTTCTGTTCTGTGCACTCTGGATGAGAAGAAAGAAAAAAGAGAGAGAGAGAGAGAGAAAAGTCTGTCATAACATGAAAAGGGATTTTTTTTTTTTGCCAAAAACATGACATTTTTGTGGTTTTTCTGGTTCCGCGGAACAGCTTTCATATTAAACCAGAGGAGCAAAAGAGCTTCATTTGTTTTTAGTGATTGTAAAAATAGACAGCTGTGTAATAGATAAATATTTACCAGGAGCAAGAGTGTTGCAGACAGCTGATATTTACCTATGGGGCTTGTGCTTAGATTGTCTTTCACTCTCCAACATCCACTGCCAGACATTCTGGGAGCGATCGGCTTCCCCACTGGGTAGCGGTATGCCTGGTGGGGCAGGGGGACCACCTCCTTCTCCACCTGGCAGGACGAGGCCATCCTGGAGCTTACAGTTCCTTTTGGGAAGGGTCCCAGTTCTGCTGAGGCTTCCATCAGAGAGAAAAGAACAACACTTAGTCTCTGGTGGCTAGTCATTACACAGCAAGAGTTCTGCTAAAACCTCATGCCCCAGTTGGATGGGCTTCTCCTCCCTGGTCCCATCTCCACTCTCCCCTCATCGCACCAACTCCCAGCAGTCCCTTTAGCTTTTAGACAAACAGGCACAATTCACCAAGTGTGGACCAACCCCAGCCACCCCAAGCCTTTAGAACTCTTCCCCAAGAGGAAACTCACCCAAATGGCTCCAGCTGAGCGACAGGAAGGTCCGCTCCCTTCGCGTGTCCTCTACATTTTGGATAGCAATAATAATCAGTGCCCCCAGCACACAAGCATTGGACCCGCTGGGCTGCCTCAGCTTCTATCTGCTCTTTCGTTTTGGGGATGGTGTGGTGGTGGATGTAGTGATGGTGAACATGCTTGGTGGTCTGCTTGGTGACAAATCCTTTGCTGAGAAGAGCACAAGCCGCAGGCACGGCGTTCTTGCCTGGGGTGGCTAGCAGGAACTTGCCTCCCGGGAGTCGGTCGGGGGAACGAGCCCGAGGACTATGCCGCCCCATGCCGGGAGACTGACACCCGGGAGTCTTAAGCACGCGGGACAGGTGGTCGTCCAGAATGGCCTGAGGATCATCTTCGTAGCTGCCGGTGGGAAGGAGCGTGAGGGGGTGCTGCTGATGTTGCACGGCTACAAGCTCTCGGTTGCCCTGGGCAGCGACAGGCGTGTCAGAGATCTCCTTTTCGTCATCCTTCAGGACAAAATGTGAAGGACAATGACTCAATCAGCAGAGCTCAACAAGGAGTCCTCGTAAAGCTCTTCAGACATTATGCCTTCCTGCCCCTTGACAGATACCTGGGGCCAATGCCTAGTTACATAGATGCTGACAGAATTTGAGGCATTCGCACAGATACCCCCAAGAGACCTCAGCTGGCAGCAAACAGGCACAGCGGTATTGCTCTGGTTTCATTAGCTTGTGTGACTGCAGTGCCTCTCCACACCTGGCCCTCCTTCACAGAAGGATGACCTGAGCCAAGATTCATTCATTCATTCATTCATTCATTCCCCCCACTCTCTCTCTCTCATGCCTCCTTCTTCCTGCCCATCCTCTCGCCCACCCTCCCCTTCAGCAAAGGGGGAGCCACCAAGCAGGAACCCATGCAAAGGGAGCGGGGGTGGTGGTCAGGTTCCCTACCTCTGTGATTTGCTGCAGCCTCTCTTCCAAGCAATCCATGGTCTCTTGTTCTCGCTTGAGCTTTTCCAACCGAGAGATGAGCTCGGCTGCGAAGGTGGCAGGTTCCACGGGGGTCATTTCCTTGGGGAGCCGGTGGGTTCTCTACACAGAGCGGGGACAGAGACAATAAGCCAAGTTTAACAGGCAGCGCGAGCGAAAGCAGCTCAGTTCGAGGAGCAGGCTGGCTGGCTCCGTTCAGCTTGTTGTGTCTCCATGTTTGGATGAAAAGACGACCGCAACTAGGCATGGTCTGCTTTGGATTTTTATGAGCAAGTGCTGTGGCCTCATGGAGTGACATCTTCCCCAATAGCGTTTGCCTTCGGCAGGAGCAGTTGGTCGCACTCCGAGGAACCCTGCTTGTTCTCTCTGTAGTACAACCAGCCCATCAGTAGCTACTCTGAAGTAGAAAATCTTCAAAGACTGTTGTCAAACATCAAATGGAAAACTCAGAGGCGGGAGGGGGAGAGAGGGAGAGAGACTTTAACTCAAGGAATAAAAGTGGAGTATAAACAGAAAGGAGTTGGAAATTAAAATAAAAATAAGACGGGGGAGAAAAAGGGAAGGGAGCGGAGGAGGGAGGGAAAGAAAAGGAGTCAAATGGTGGCAGATCAGAGAAGGGCTGGTAATTTATTTCCTGGCTACACACTGGGCACCTTTGAGGTAGTGTTGTCTCAACAGTGTCCTGGATCTTTCTCCCTCTCTTTCCCTCTGTTCTTCTCCCCCCCTCCCTGCCCTCCATCTCTTTGTACAGAAAATGAAGGAAGCTGCTACGGGCAAACGGCGCTACACTGCTGAGCCTGGCTGCCTCCAGCAGATCTATCAAGGGAAAACGCAGCACCTCCAAATCAAGGCTGGAATATGAAACGGCAAGCAAAAATCTCTGCCGAAAGAAGCCCAGGAAGGGGGGGGAAGGCCCCCTTCCACCCCATCTTTATTCTCCTCTCATCTCCCCCACAAGCACTCCCATTTCTTGCCTTCTTTGCCCTCCAGTTCTGGATACACAAACATACACACAATACTTTTTTTTTTGTTTGGGGCATTTTTTGAGGTTTTTTTTAAGGGGGGGCGGTGGCTGAACTGCCAAGGCTTTCACAGGCTGCCCATGAGGTGAGGTAGGGCCTCTCTCTCTCTGGTAACCACTTAGCTTCAGAAATGATGTGAGGGGAGAAAAAGGCGACTCTGCAGGAAATTGTCACTCTTACACAAGCTGGCTCTATTCAGCTCCCTGATCAAAGCACTGCCTTACAGAGAAAGTCGATTTGCACGCCCCAGGACAAAATAATCTAATTTACAAGCAGAAGCTATAGAGAACTTTTTTTTTTTAATGGCAGAAACAGAAGAAAATACTATAAACAAATATACCAATAAATAAATACATGGGGACATGCAAACCCTAGATACCAATAAAGGAAAATATTTGTAGTTCAGGGTTGAAATGGAGGTCCTTGGAGTTCTCTGAGCTTGGTTGTTTTCTTGCAGACGTTTCAATACCCAGCTAGATAATAGCATCAGTGCTAGTGCCATAGACAAAGCATTGATGATGTTACCTAGTTTGGTTAATGAAACATCTGCAAGTAAACAACCAAGCTCAGAGACCACCAAAGACCCTAGAGTCTCTCCAGGGGTGTCAAACTGGTGGCCCGCGGGCCAGATGTGTCACGTGCAGGCCACGCCCACCCCAGCTCCGCAAAGGGAAGAAGCGTCACGAAACATTACGTAACGGCAACGTGCCGCCGCGGGTTTGACACCCGTGCCCTAGACAATCCCCCTCCATCTCAGAGACATATAGTATTTCACCTGGAATTTATCATCCCTTAAGAGAACAGGAAGTTGAATTTGCTTACATTAATCACAAGATAAATTTAGAACATAGAACTTCATCAGAGTTGGAAGGGACCTTGGAAGTCTTCTAGTCCAACTCCCTGCTCTAGCAAGAGACCCTAAACCATTTCAGACAAACACCCTCAAATTTGTGTCCTCCAAGCACATGGGCTCCCCCAGTCCCACATCACTGTTTCACTACATTGACTGGGGATGATGGGAGCTGCAGTCAATTTTCCCTACTAGGCTGGAGATGATTGATGATGGCCAACATATTAAGGAGACCCTATGCTAAAGTAAGCTGCACCACAAGAGTTACACAGCATATCACCCTAAAACCCTCTGTACTTTAGATGAAAAAAGAACTCAAATTTCCAAACAAGCACTATTAGGTTAACTGCTTGCAAGGAAGCCAACAAGCAAGAAGATCTAGGATGGGGGCGGAATGGGAGGTGAGGGGAGACTTTTTGGTACAAATATCCTTTTTCCTTTGAAGGACCTGGGAAATCTTTCTTCCTGCCTTAACAGTTGCTAATAGTGGGGGAGAAATCCTGGCTCTGCTTAAACAAATAGCAGAAGGCCCAGTGACTTCAATGAGAACATAATTCCTCCTGGTGCGTTTCTCACTCTTTGACATCCCGAAGCAGAAATAGCAAATGAAAAGCATTAAAAAAAAACAACAACCCTAAAATAAAATAAAGCAGCTGTGGAAGTTCACAGTGAGACTTCCCCCTCTTTCTCTTACTACCCTCAAGTCGATCCATCACATGGTTTAACAGAGGGAAGAAGCAGGCATTTTAGAACAGTCCTGCAGCAGCAAACAAGCAGGATAAAATAAGCCCAGTTTTACCAATCATCTATCCACGAAGACACACATGCAAGACAGTCCTCATGTCAGACCCAGAGCCTTCGGGAAAGGAATCATCCAGGCCAGTCTTTGGCTAGGAATTTTGGAATTTATCGTCCAAGACATCTGGCGGATTCAGCCAACAATCATCTCAGCCCAACATTTCCCCAGTAATAGCTGCGAGCCAGATGCTCCCAGAAACTCCCAAGCTGGGTCAGGAGTCCAAGTCATGTTTTAATTGATCTCATCTTAGGACAGATTCTAAACCTCCCCTGTAGTTGTTCGCCATAGCTCTAAAAAAGAGAGAAGGGAAAAAGCTCTCTCTCTCTCTCTCTCTTTTTTTAAAAAAAGAATTCTTATGTTGTATTCTATGGAAGTCCACTTACACAGGTAGTCCTTGACTTACAACCATTCGTTTAGTGACCGTTTGAAGTCACAATGGCACTGAAAAAAGTGACATGACTGTTTTTCACAGGCATCCCTGTAGTCACATGATCAAAAATTGGCCGCCTGACAACTGGCATGTATTTATGATGGTTGCAGTGTCCCAGGGATCATGTGATCACCTTTTGCAGCCCTCTGACAAGCAAAGTCAATGGGGGAAGCCAGATTCACTTAACAACCATGTTACTAACATAACAACTGTAGTGATTCACTTAACAACCGTGGCAAGAAAGGTTGTAAAATAGGGCAAAACTCCCTTGTCTTGCTTAGCAGTGGAAAGTTTAGCCTCAATTGTGGTCAATAAGTGAAGGACTACCTGTATATCAGTTCTTTCTCTCTAGGTGCTACCCTATTTCTCTTTATCCCACCCTCTCAAACAGCAAGGAAGAGAATTAGTCCTCAGAAAAGGGTGCAGGAAGGGATTGTCAATCCCCCCACACCAGAGCTTGGTGCCCAAAAGGCTGGCCTAGCACAAAGCAGATTCCTAGATCAGGTATACTTTGAGTAGCATTTGGACCAACATCCACCAGAGCAAAATGAACTTCTCTGTGGTGGATAAAACAAATCTGATATATCTAAGCAACTTTAGTAAAACAGGTGGGAAGAGGAAATGAATCTGGAAATTAACTGGAAATTAACTTTCCAGTTATCCTTACAACAGGGAATCACAATCTCTTGTCATTCTTTATTTTACAATATTCATAGCCTATCGCCATTCTGCAGGACTCCGGGTCAAAGACAAGCACATAAAGCCCAATACAAACAGATAAAAATGGTATTACAGGTAGTCCTTGTTTTATGACCACAATCGGGACCAGAATTTCCTTTGCCAAACATTGTGGCTGTTAAGTGAGTTGTGCCTGATTTCTTGACCTCTGTCGCCAGGGTTGCTTAGTGAACCACTGCAATTGTGAAGTGAATCCCCCATTGATTTTGCTTGTTGGAAGCTGGCTGGGAAAGTCACAAATAGGAATCACTGGGACACTGCAATCATGGTATAAATATATGGCAGTTTCCAAGCGCCCAGATTTTGATCACACGACTGTGATAGTCATAAGTGTGAGGACCTTAAGTCGCTTTTTAAATTGCTGATGTAACTTTCGAATGAACATTATACAAATGATTGTAAGTCAAGGACTACCTGCATTCAAAACTATCGATCAGCATCCTAGGCGGCCTTTGAATTCATTCATCTATGGGCCAAATGAATGCATGCTTCTTAAAATGCTTCGTCAACTCCAAAAGTACTTACCGGAAAGTGAGGTAGAGAAACTTGCCCGTTGGCCTTGACGCTACGATGCATTTCCCTCTGGAGCTGCTTCTTGCTCCCGATTCTGTAAGGAGGGATCCCATCACTACACATGAAAAAAGAAACAATTATAATATTAGGTTTAGAGCTTGTAAGTGTTCAACTGCATCAAGAGCCAGTGCTTTGGAGTTTTTCTTTTAATGAGAGGCCCTCCATTATATAGATGCTTAGAGAGAGGGAAATATTTTGTTTTCTTTTAGAGAAGGCCCCACAGAGACCAGAGCTAGATTTATAAGCAGAAGCCAAGCCTTCAGAATTCCAAGCCAACCTTTGTTTTTTCCCTTCTTCCCTATTTAAATTCAACTGAGCTATAAATGTTTTTCTACTGGGGGAAAAAAAAAACAGGTAAAAGAAGAACATCTCTGTTTGTTAGAACCTGGAACCTGGTTGCTAAGGCTTTCTCCCACTTCTTTATTATTTCTCCCCCCACCCTCGACTTTAAATGCGAGTGGTTTCTTAAAAGTCACAATTCAAGGTGAAAATCCCTGTTTTTGCTTGCATCCCGGCATAATGCTAAATGGCACGTTAAAATAGAAAAAAGCAGCAGCAGGGATTGATTGATGGCACTTCTGTCCCTTCCTACATGCAATATTACAGGTCTTTCCAGTGGTGCAGTCTGAAATGCCAAGTACTTTAACATAAATTGTCCCTGTAGGAAAAGCCAGTGTAATCTATAGCCTTTTAGAAAGGCATCCAGGGCTCTAAAAATAGGAATCTTCAAATGAAGACATGGAATGTTTTTAGAATAGTCAAGTTACTCTCCACTCACCTCTTCACTTTCATTATTTTCAGAGAGAAGGAAAACAGTTCCCTAAATTTATGAAGTAGCTTTCACACTTAGCCCTTGAATGCATGCGCACTGATGGATTGAGTGGCAGAATTGAGCATGCGAGCACACACACGCAAACAGACAAATATAAACTTTACATACACATCAATTATTTATTTGTAAAATATAAATAACTTTCTCTAGAAGCTCCTAGGGCAGTGCTGTCAAACTCCCAGCCCATGGGCCGGATGCGTCACATGCTGGCCACACCCACACCCAGTTTAGCGAAGGGGGGAAAAGTCCCTATATATCATGTGATGCCGCCATGATGTGAGTTTGACACCCCTGTCCTAAGGCAATAGATGTGGTTCTCCATCCTCCATTTTTCCTCTTTAATAATCACCCTACGAGGTTGTGATTGAGTTGAGAGACAATGACCAGTTCAAGGTCGCCCACCAGCTTCCATGGTTGACCATGGACTTGAATTTGGGTTTCTCTAGTCCTAGTCCAACATACGGGTGATCCTCAACTCACAGCCACAATGGAGCCCCAAAATTTCCATTACTAAGCAAGACAGTTTTTAAGAGACTTTTGCCACATTTTATAACCTTTTTGCCATGGTTGTTAAGTGAATCGATGCAATGCTTAAGTTAGTAACATGGTTGTTAAGTGAATCTGGCTTCCCCCCCCAATTGACTTTGCCTGTTAGAAAATTGCAAAAGGTGATCACATGATCCCGGGAGACTGCAACCGTCTTAAATACATGCCAGTTGCCAAGCATCCGAATTTTGATCACGTGACCACAGTAATGTTGCAATGGTTGTAAGTGATCATAAGTCACTTTTTCAGTGCTGTTGCAACTTTGAATGGTCATTTAGTGATAAATTGAGGGCTACCTGTTTTAACTATTCCATCACCTTGGCTCTATATTATATGCATACTGTATGTAAGCATAATGAACAAATAGTAGGATAAATCAATAGTTTATGCAACTTTAAAAATCCTTGAAAGAAGAAGGAAGTGATTACATACACACATGTGTGCGCATGTGTGTGTGTGTGTGTGTGTGTGTGTGTGTGTGTGTGTGTGTGTGTTTGGTTGAAGGCTCCATTCAGATTTTTAAACCCCCAGTCATGGAGGTCAAAAATTATGCTGCCATTCAGGATGCTATTATGAATACTTCGCTGTTGATTATTTCAATATGAAGAATGGAAACAAGCTAAAATCCTTATTATGAAACCTCCTACCCTTTTATTCCTTAACCCAGATAATATAAACAGATGGTTTTTAAAGGCAAGGTATGTAAATCTAATTAAATCCAATTGCATTTGTTTCAGTATAAATATATTGTTGCAAGGGCCTGTTGGTAAAACAAGTCAGATGAAAAAAAAATGGCTTGTCTCTGGGAAAATATTTTCTGAGCCCAGATCTGCAGAATTTTGAGGTGGAAAAGACCATTAATTCTCTAAGCCAAGTTGAGCCACTGGCAACTTTTTTAGACCATGTACCACCCCAAACCTTACACTGATTTGGGCAACCATTCAATGGCATCCTTGCCTTGGGTTGAGACTACGTATCTCATCCTGGTTGAGTTTCTAAGAGATGTACCAGTAAATCTCAACAAGACTGGAGAGGCAAAGAGGCTTGGGTTCTTGGTTTAGAATATTTTAACCAGGTCAATACTTTTCAGACTTTTCCTTCAAACAGACCATGATCATGTTCAAAAGCGTCTGAGGCCCACCACATAAACAAGGGGTCAGAACTTAGTAAACATAAGTCTCTTCTCAGTTGGCTCCATAGGAGCCCAACTTTAAAATTACTACTAAAGGTTTATTGTGCGACCTTGTCAGATTTTGAGCAAGACCAATGACCAAAACCTGATCCATTTTTAAAAAATTATTTTCTGCTGCACCGGGGACCACCTATGCTTCCCTTATGGATCTCGAGCGGTTCCCAGATCACACCTAAAGAACCACTGGATCCCAGAACTTCATTCTAAAGGAATTCCTATCTTAATAATGATGCATCACCCAAACTTTCATATATTCAAACCCTGCTCCATCCCTCAAAAGAGATCCATGATGTTTTTGCCTATGCAAAACATCTGATCCTCAAAGGTTCATAGATATGAGTAAATCTATGAACTAAGACAAGATATTGTGTAACCTCTGTATCTCTCAGCTTAAAGGGAAAGTGCTTAAGGGAAAGTGAACTGCATTTACCATTCTGAGAGGTATGAACTAATAATGTGCCAGGTTATGAGAAAATTGGGAGTTTGCTAGGTGATCAGGCAGAAAGAAAAAACAGTCCCCAATCAAACTCATTCTCCTGCTTCCCAATAAAAGTTCATGGAGGGATTTGTGGTCCATGTTAATGACTTCGCAACTCTCAACTTTCTATCTGAGATAAAGACAAAATGTTCATTCTTTTCTCTAAAGAGAAAACTGAAAACCTCCAGAGTAAAATCATTATATGGAAATACTTAATGAACAAGCCTGCAATTTTCATACAACTTCCTTCTCAGAAATGTGACTTGAATTTTTTTAATTTTTATGCACCATGATTCTAAAGAAAGCCATCCTGGCTGGTGTCATCACCAACAGGAAATCACAGGATCACCAGGCCAAATAGGCATCTTCCCCACAGGATCCCCAGCAGCATCCCTGAAAGGTGACCAGAAAACCTCTGTTTGAAGATCCCCAGCAGAGGGCCATTTCCTATTTTGTGTGGCCAATCATGCTTTTGAACCAGTTCTTTCTCCGCCTAGCCTTTAGTTGGGCAACTCCATTTTTTTCCTGCACAGTATAAAATTCCTGGGAGTAGATTGCAGATTCAGTCATAGCAGCAAACTACAGTTTACAGAATTCACTCATCGTGCTAATCCATTCTGTGATTTGTTTAGGTTTTCACTTATTTTCCCCCATTTCTCTTCCTATGTGATATACAAAAGAGACTTAACTTGCTAAGACTCTTAATGTAAATGAAAGAGAACGCTAGCGAATGCAGATATTGGTAGTGAGCTGAGTGAGCTCTCTATATTGTTCAAATTCAAAAAACTTTCCATGCTTTTACAGACATTTCATTACCTGGCTAAATAACATCTTCAGTGAAGATATTACCTAGCTGGGCTATGACACATCTGCAAGAAGGCTACCATGCTCAGAGAGCACCAAGGATTCCAGAGTTCAACCCTAAACTGCATAAATTTGCTTCGATTTGTAATCATTAAGTTATTCATGTTCTACCACGTCATATGCTGCAGTTACTGTTTTCAAGCACTTCAGAAACAATGTACTTTTTGAAAATACATATCCATGGATTAGTTTTGTGTTTGCAGCGGGCTTGACAGTGTTGAAAACTAACCATAATGGCAGAGTTCACACAGCACCTAACAACTAACTTGATGGGCTTCTAGTTCAGTTTGTTGGGTGAGTACAGTGTGAGTGCAACAGGACCTGACCCTGTTCTATAATTCCACTTTGCTAACATAAATATAAAACTGAAGATGCATATTATTCTTCCCTGTTTATTTCTGATTTTTAGACGGTACCATTGATATTTTACCTGTATTATTTATTCCATGCAAGCCATCAACATTTTTTAAAGAAATTCTGGTACTGTAGAAATATGTTTAATCAATAAATAAACAAATAGCAGGTGTATTGGTACAACATACTAAATCGCCATCTGTGAACTATAATCTGTAATTGCTAATCCAACATCATACCATACTCTGTTTTAGCATGGTCTGTGAACCAGGCCATTACTCAAAGCCATTTATGGTTTGCTTTGGCTTAGACAAACATATTGTGGTTTGTTAACTGTGATGTACAATATGATTTATCCACAGGCAATAGGCAATGCCAGTTAATAAACCCAAAAACTCTGTGCAGGAGAGAAAAGGAGGTGGGGGAACTCAGGTATGGCATGATAATATACAGCTGTTAACACAGGCCCAGATTTTGTCTTGAAACTGGAGTTTGGCACAAGGTTTTAATGCCCCATCTCCCATGCTTCTCTGTGGGAGATTATCCCATTTATGTTTCAAGAGCTCAGATGCTTCTAGCCAAGTTGGCTGCAGAGAAGAAACCTGACACTAACCACAGCATCACATTCCTCCAACCGCTCAGACTTATGCTGGAATACAGCCTCTTTCTGTTGTGATGTTACAACAGTGATGTCTACTGTCCTCTCTTGTGGAAAAGCCAGCTCCCTTCCCCAGTCTAGCCTACCCTTAAGTGGCAAAGGACAGAAAAAGCCTGCCATCCAATTTTCTT